AGTGTGTCATTCATGTGAATCGGTGGTCTAATGTTCTAAACTGTGCGCTTACGACGCACGAACCCGGGTTCGATCCCGGGCTATGTCTTTTTGTATTTATTGCATGTTATCACATTCTATGACAGATTGCTCTAAAAACGGTAAAAGACGAAGGTCAAGACGTTTTTTTTTGCAGATTATAGCTTAATTGTAAAAAGAATAATTTAAGACCACATGTACCCCAATTAAAATAATGTTAGTCTCTTTTTGATGTGGAACTTTTACATGTTTGTCTAAAAAATAGGGAATAAATAAAATTGAAAGGTGATATCCTCTTGAGCAAACCCTGATGTTGATACGCTGAAGAAATACGTTCCAACATCCATTCTTCCCACTCCTATTTTGGACATCAATTGCTTATTTATTTTGCATAAACTATGTATAATTACATTGCTTTTATTTTGTTTTTGTTTTTTCATCTCAAATGTCCAAATAATAATAATAAAAAAACATTAATCAAAACATTCATTCAGCATTAGCACGGCTGTCATGGCAATGTGAATGGAGACGGACAAACAACTGATAAAATAATTCCCTGTGTTTGCTGCTGGATTTGGTGTGAATCTGGCAACCTGAGTCAGGGAGAGTGGGAGAGGACTACAAAATATTGACTGTGACTGCAGTACCACTTTTGGCCAGATTTTTACATATTGTTCCTTTAACCTTCTAAATCATTAGAAAGAAGTGTAAAACATATATTTACAAGACCAAATAAATAATGGAAAGGGCAGCCTAAAAAGCAAAATGGGAGAATTATTAAGTAATTTTCGGAGTTGCCAAAATGAAATAAAATTCTTTATTTGTCCCATAGGGGGTCATTCTAAATTTAGTGTTGTGCAGATTCAAAAGGAGAAATAATAGCGCTTATAACATCAAGCAGATCTACTCTTTAAGATAATAGATCATATAATAATAATAATAGAATAGAATGAAATAGTCTGGAGCTATAATGTCATTGGATTCAAGGAGCTATAGGTTGAAAGGTCGCTAAGAAGAGGTGTCAGAATAAACCATAGTAATAATAGTTAGACTAGTGAATAACCATCCATCCATCCATTTTCTTCCCCTTAATCCATTTCTGGGTCGGGGGGGGGGTGGCAGTCAGAGCTGCACCCAGTACACAGCACCAGCCCCTCACTGATCCTCCTGCAGGTGGTGAGTCCACAGGAGTGAATAATCAAAATAGTTCTATTGTGGAAATAAGTATCAATAAGGTCAAATTGTTCTAATGACTAAAGTAAAAAGGAATCAAATGGAGTCAGATTTTAGATGTTTCTGTTTTCCACATCTGTAGGAATTAGTGCAGATGTGTTTATAGAGAGTAGTATTAAAATGCAGACATAGAACGACAGGCTTTAACACAATTTTAAATCTAAAAATAGCTCAAATATAACATTGCTTTTGACGCAGCCTCTAAGCTGCTCCATTGGAGAACAGGTTAAATGTTATTGGTTATTACAAACAGCTGATGTATTTACACATATTAAGTTTGGGACAACTCTTTAAACAGCTATAAGCAGCGGACAGAAGCCATGAATGTGCTTTTGTTTATTAAATAATTAATTTCATAGCCATATAATCGTAGAGAACGGTTTTAAAATAGTTCTCTTCCTCCCGCTCCCTTTCAGGCAAATTGAATAGATTCATGTCTTTAATATTGGAGAACGACTGTGTTGTTTTTGGAATTGTCTGAGATACAATACATAAAATAGTGATTTGCAGAACAAGAACCGGCCAATGAAAAATCGTCTATTGCCAATGCAATTGTTACAATCAGAACTCACAAATTGGGAATATGCTTTGGCTCAAACTACAACCAAGATTTGGAGTCACAATAGAGTATAAAATAGATAGATGCTTTCAAAAATAGAGATTATTTTTAGCCAAGGCTAATATCAAGCGGTAAAAGGACCATTTCCTTCATATTATGTCCAAAAGTATTTACTTCAAAGGTAGATGAAGTTCATTACAGTTAATGCACAGGTTTATTAGATACTGTCAAATTCACTTGTTTCAAACATAGGTGAATGTTAACAATGCAAAAAGCTAATGAGATAGATTAATGAGATAGATTAGAAACAACAGAGATTCAAAAACATTTAAAAGCATTTTAATGTATTTGGGTATAGCACAAAAGTAGATATTTAGGTATTTTTTGAGAATTTTAAGAGCTGTCGATTTGTCAGCAACAGATTAGAGAATCAAAATACCGTTGTATAGGGACTGACCCCAGAGAAACCTGCTAAAATAGATTAGCTCTTGTAAGGATAATACCAATTTGATTAACGATGTACATTTATCCCAAACGGTCTGAGAGGAGGAAGGGACAGCACTTCCTGGTTCAACAAAATGTATTTGGAAAAATGAGCAAAGCCCCACGAAATGGCCCAAAGCCACTGATAATGAAAGCAAACCACAGTATAGATAGATTTATTAGATAAAAACATATGTTTAAGAATAGGGCTCAATAAAAGCAAAATATGCAAACATATTTGTAAATAGATTAGAATAGTTTAAACTATAGTGAATAGTTTTAGTGCATACATTACAGACGAGGTTGAAGAAGAATCAGAATGACATAGCAGTGGTCATCAAATAGTATTGAAGGAATGGTAAAAATGTGGTTTGTTGTGTGTTGTTTGTTTTCTCTGTATTAACTCTTCACAGATATCAAGCCGGAACTAAGCACAAGTATTGATGATAAACGACGATGTGGATTGTGACCTAATTTTTAATCAGGTCAAAAGAGGGAAACTGTTGTATTTATAAATACGTGACATTCTAAAACCATGTGTTTTATGACCTAAACGACCTCTAAGTGGGAGGCCAGTCCTTCTTATTTTATTTTAGGTGTCTTCTTGTGCCAGCAACTGGACAACAGATAGATTCTCCTGTTTGGATTTCACCCCCCTAGTCTTGGCCTGCTGACTTCTGCACTTTTCAACCTCACTCCATCAGGAGTCTGGCAGACGGTGGAAAAGGCTGGACCCTAGACCGGAAGCTGGCTGATAGGACACTCCCCTCCTTCCTGTTCTTTTTATATGCTCTGGCTTGGGGAGAAACAGAGGGATCAGCCGAGGGCCAGAGAGAGGGACATATATAGTTTTAGGAGCACTCTTTGTTGGAATTTCTGTATCTGATTGTAAAGATAAATTAAATACAGATGTTAAACTTGGAGATCTCTTGTCTTACTCTTGCATCGACTTTGAACACGTCAGTCAAAGGGAATTATTGACTTCACAACAGAGAAGAGTGTCAGAGTTGATGGAATGGTGGATGGAGCAAAATACAGGACTAGAATTGAGACTGGTGTGGATATTTACCATACCGTCGGGACAATGACCCCAAAAATTGAGACTTTTCATGCAATGTGATGGTTGAAAACTAAACATTTTCATCAGTTGGAATGGTCCTTTCGAAGTCCAAACTTAAATCAAAGGGGATTTTTTTGGAACAATAAAACTGCTGTTCACTCTCAATCTATTCTGACAGAACTGTAAAAATCAATCAGTCTCTAGATCTGCAAAGCTTGTCGAGGCAAACCCCAAAAAACAGGGGGTTCCACAAAGTATTAATTCATTTTGTAGCTGTGCACTTTTCCCACTTTTCAGATTTTTATTTAAAAAAACAAAATCATGAATTATGTAGCATTCACTTCAGTTGTCCTTTACTTTGTGGTGGTCTTTAAAAACAAATCAAAATCTTTGAGAGAACTTGTATATTGCTGCCAATATAATCGTTGGTGTCCTCTTCCACTATGAGAGAAATTCCCGTCTAACTTCAGTGGTGCAGCTGTCTCCACACAAGTGCCTCAGCACTAATCCTGGATCACTGCATCTTCCTCTGGTGGGTTTGATGAACTCGCACTAAAACAACAATTATGGGCAAAAGGAAGTGTTAAATGTCAGGAACAAACACAGACCCCAGAGTGTCGGAAATGCTCCCCTCTACGAAAGAATTAACTTGAACGATAACAAGTTAATTTGGCCGAGACAGTTGTAACATAAGTGAAAAGAGAGAGACATTTGAGGCAGATGTGACAAAGGAAGAAGCAGCGATTATGAAAATATTTCAGAAATATACAATTACAACCAGTAGGGCAACAAACCAGTATTGCTAGTGGTAAGGTCATCAAAAATATTCCTGGAGTTTGAAAATTTGCAATACCAATGCACGAACCTAAAAAAATCATATCTAAGGGGCAAAACAATTAATCTAGGCCTATGAAAAATTGCCCTTATGAAACACTGTATTAAAGTAGCGATATGTAATATTTTCATGTCAAGTCATCATTAAATGCCCCTAAGATATCAAAAGACATTAATAAAACATCCTCTTTTCGAATACTTCTTTGACTGATTAGTAAGTAGTTTAGCCTGGATATGCCAATTTCACAAGAGGATTTACAGCCCCTAAATCTTGTTATTGTTTTCATTTTGATGTCCCGCCCTCCACCGTTCCACCAATCAGAAAGTCTGTGATCCGGGTTGCCAGAACTCACCGCATCGAGCTAATCTTACTGGTAAAGTAACATGTGGCGGCAGAACTTAAAAAGGTCTCGTTATGATTCATCATTAATGACAAAACAAGGATTTCTATCGGGGCCTTTGTGAAAAAGGTGTTGGTTATATATTTGTTGTTGACAAATCTCTTGTCTTTTCAGATAATACAGTATGTTCCCAGGTGGATTCGTCTGCATATCTGGCAACCTGGTTCAGGGAGAGTGGGAGAGGTTGCAGTACCACTTTTGGCCAGATTTTTAAATACTGCTCCTTTAATTTGTTTTCATCAAAGTCCCTGTGTTACATAAATCTGGAGGTTCCCATTCACATAAACTCCTCACCCCTGACCCTTGACCTCTCAGCCTTCCTTAACTTTCCACAGTTCTGTTTGATTTAGACAAGACCTTGTACAAAGCAAGGTCCTTCTGATAGCGCTAACTCTGATACACGCCGCTTGTTTCATTTTCTTTGCAGCTTGCGGACCATCCATCGTCCGTACCATGTGACAGCGACTCTGCGGCCCACATACCTCTGTCTGTCTGGGGAAACCTCTCTTTCCTGTCGCCTCCATCTGGACGTCTGTGTGAGGATGCCAGGAAGACCACTCTCTGATTGCTGTGGACTGACCGGACTCTACCAACAGAATTAAGCCTCATTAAAGACACTAGGAAAGACAAATGGAGTGGACAAAATCCTTGAGGCTATTATATCATACTAAAGTCAGATATGACTTCTTCTTTAAGCTAAAGTTGGAAAATGTAAACTTTTTTTATTTCGCTAAAGCTAGAGATTTTGTACTTGCTTCGCCACTGAAATGTCCCCACTGTGAGTCAAATAACGAATCTCTTTATCTTAATATGCAGATAAAATCAATCCAACTTTACAATATTACTCTTTTTAATGTAACGAGAAGCTTACTGCTCACAACACGCCACAGTACATATCAGACTTTATAGTTTCTGTTTAATACAAAGCAATCTTGTGTCTTGAAACCTCAATATGTGGGGTAAATGTCCAGGGAATGTCCTGTTTGGACCAAGTGGACTGGTTCAGTTTAAATGGCTGTGTCAGGGTGGTCCTCTCTCTCTTTTTGATTTTTCTGTTCGAAAAAGCTGATCTAAAGATGTAGCAGAGGCCAAAACTACAGGCACATGGAAACTACGTATAGTGATAGAGCCAAAATACATGTCACATTTGGAATAGATAGAATCACTCAGATTGTGCAAAAAGCCGAAGTGCCACATGTTAAGGTTAAAATTGTAGTAAGTGCAGGATATAATTATGCACAATAAAAAAGTGGCAATAAAAGAAAGAGAGGCAATAGCAGTGCAGGGTTTTTTCAGTCCAAGTGCATTCGTGATACCAAGATACAACTCCATGAATTAAGCATTACTTCTCCCAGTGAACCTAGCAGTAACAAGGGGAAACACAAAAACACTTGCCAAATCTTGCTGCTTCAGAATTTTTCTCTGCACAGAAAGCAGACTCTTGGACTGGACATTTGACTTATCCTTGTGTTTTCTGTCACATTGCCAATACAGAATAATACATACTGTATGACATGGATTTCATACAGGTCTCACCTCATCACTCACAGTTTAGCTTGATTTAACCACTAAACGTAAAATCTTGATGTTTTCTCCCTCACATTGAGCAACAATGCTTCTCCCTGCTGCAGAGCCGGTGGGTGGAGGACAGTGGATTTGGACGCTGGGATCGGGGCAGGGGTGTGGAGTGTGGGGTACTTCCCAGAGCATGAACAAGTGCTGAGTGAGGACATGATGAAATGGCCCTATGTGCAGATTGTGCGCTGAATGGACTCTATATTCACAAAGAGAATGGCTGCTTTCTGAACACGAGCTGCTCCTTCAACAGAGCACAATCACAAATACACACACGATTCTCTCAGCGCACAATAGAGCATCAGGGAGGAAGAGCTGATGCTAAATGTCAGCTGACAGTAATAAATGTCCAGTTTAAGAAGAGACTAATGAGCATGTATTGTTAAAATGTCACAGAGCATTTTTGGTGGGAACCGAGGGACGTACAGTGCGATCTTTATATTGTTTACGGAACAACTCATGGCGAATCACACAGCTGGGTATTTTCCATTTGAAACCATTATTAGCTATTTATGATAAATTACAGTCATGCAAATCTAATGTTAATATTGTTGATGGAGGGACCACCCTAAAGAAACGCATATTCAAATGAATGGCCTCATTATAAAATACTTTGATGAAAAGTTGTCAAGATGAAGACGGCATGTTGTGGTCTTGTTTGTTCTCAACATTATAGCTTCAAAAACTATATACATAAAAGCTAGGTTTTTTTTGACCCAACAAAAATCTTGTAACAATAACATGTACTTTATTTTTGTGAACAAATGAAACCACAACATTCTGTCTTTAACTTATTAGAAATCATTGGATCTTTTACAAAGTGGGAGCTGATTGGCTGAGTCAGGGTCGTCCTGTCCATAACTTATTCACTGAAAAAGCTGATGTAAAGATGTAGCAGAGGCCAAAAATGCCTGCATGTGAAAACTAGTGAAATAACCAAACAGTTTGGAAAGCTCGTTCACTGTTTGTGGTTTTGGTACTCCAAAAACAGATGAAATAAAAGTAAAAAATTGCTAAAATTTGGCAAAATGCATAATATAGAAGAAATGTCTCCCTTGGATTGAGAAAATAAAGCCACAGTTCTTGAAAAAAGACTAAACATCTTGTTACACTGCCAAATGTTGTCAGAATGTGCTCAAATTAAGATTAAAAAACTTTACCTCATATTTGATCATTTTTTGCAGTGATAGCCTTAACCTTATGAATGATTCCATTATAATAACCAAATCATTACACTGCCAGTCATCTCTCGACACTATAATAAATGTTGTCTTCTTAAAAAAACACATCGCTCAGTGACTTCCACCTCACAGAGTTGTCAGTCGCGCCTCCTCACAACAGGTGGACGTTGAGTCTCTTCAGCTCCAAACCAGCAGCAGTTTGTAGTGATCATGTTGAAAACCGCCGTGAGGAGAGATGGCGCTCAGCCTCGGCCTCGGGGCCCTGGACGTCCCGGGACCGCATCAGGATGTGGCGATTACAGCAGTCACGCTTTGTGTTTGTGTGCGAGAAGGATGTTTGGGATAGCATTAGTGGATTATTAACATAACTCCTCTCATAGATGAAGAGTCCAGTCAAGATATATGCTCACTGTGGTGTCATTGTTAGTTTAGAGATTGAATTGAGATTTGTTTTTGTTTTTTGTTTAGACAATCAGGGATCAATGGACTGAGGATGGTCAAAGGACAGTGATGATCCGGGACTTTTAGGGACATTGGTCATCAAGCTCTCTATCCATCAATTCCCCCACTCGCCCCTAACCCTAACCCTACCACTAAAAAACGTGTAGAATAGAGTGAAGGAGTGTGTGTTTGTGAGTGCGAATGTGGGACAACAGATGAAAATTAGCCCAAGGCTACAATCCAGAAAGTTGTGTTCATTAAAGTAGCAACATGTAAGATTTTCATGTCAAGTCATCATTAAATGGCCCAAATCTGTCAAAAGGCGTTAATACAAATCTTTTCAAATACTTGTTTAACTGATAACAGATTTCGATGTCCCACCCTCCACGGTTATATCAGAAAGTCTGTGATCCGGGTCGCCAGAACTCACCGCCTCGAGCTAATCTCACTGGTAAAGTAAAAAGGTCTCGTTATGATTCTCAAATCGTTAATGACAAAACAAGGAATACAACGAGGATTTCTGTGAAAAAGGAGTTTGTTATAGATTTGTTGTTGATGATTATTATTATGGTCCCAGCTGGATTTGTCTGCATATCTGGCAACCTGAGTCAGAGATTGCAGAGATTGCAGAGAGAGTTTTGGCAAGATTTATACAAACTGCTCCTTTAGCACCGTTCCAACCAATTAGAATAATCATTGCATTTGCTGTGTGGATCTGTTGTTGGTGAATCGACAAATTTGTAAATTCCTCCGAGGCGACCGCTGTTGAGATTTATGAAAAACTAAATTGAATTGGACTTCAAGCTAGAAAGTCATGAAGGGTTATTTTGTTCCGGTTACAGTTTTTGCATCGGATGTCGAATGAGATCTTTTGAAGCATTTCTTTCATGTGGAATCTTTGCTTTCAAATAAATAAAAATCGTTTCTTGTTTTATATAAGTTAATTTTCTTCAGTCTCAAATCACGTGCTGTTTTGGCCTTTGGGAAATACACTTTTCTCTCTGGGACAAAGAGTGACAAAAACAATGAATGCACTTTATCAATGGGAAATCTGATTTACATTTCTGGTTCTAAATGGATACAGAAATTAAGCAAAGTATGCTGCACTGAATCCCCGAAAAACAGGAACCAAAGTGCTTTTCCTTTGTAGAATTCTGGGCATGTTTGAACTTGTCCTAAAGACAAAAGAGCAGCAGGAGTCAACGTAAGTCCAGAGACTGTAGCGTGGCTCTGTTCTCATGTTCTCACAAACAATAATTACATTTTTCCAATGTGGTTTTACTGCAAATGGCAAATAAATGAATCTGAATCTAATCCGATTCAATTCAATGTATTCTTGTATAGCCCTAAATCTCTGCAATAGTTATCAAGGAGGACTTTATACCAGTGTTTTTCAACCAGTGGGCCATGGAATATTAGTGTGCCTTGAGATGTCATATGGTGTGCCTTTGGAAACGGTATCATATCACCCCCATTTGGTGAAAATACAGTGAAAAGTCCATCAGGACTAGAACCTCTCGCCACAAGAACAGTTTCTTCCCCTCTGCTGTTGGACTCTTGAACACTTCTTAACCTGTCCCCCCGCCCTCTAGAAGTCCCCCACTGCTCTTTATAAAGTCACTTTACTGCTCTTTATAAAGTCACTTTACTTCACTGTACTGCTGTCCCCTTACATTGTGTGCACCATGTGCACTTGTATATTGTATATAGTAATCTATTTTAAATGTATTCCATAGAAGTGCTTTTAATTTTCTATTCTTTATTATGTCTTCTCTGCCCTTACCTCTCTTTCTGACTGTTGCACTGAGCCAAAGCAATTTCCAAGTCTGTGACTTCCTGTTACTTACGTGGCAATAAAAATGATCCTGATTCTGATTCTGAGAAGAAAATAATGTGAGAAGATTGGAATTACTTTGTTGTGCTTGTTTGACTTCTATAAAATCCACTTTGATGACACCGACTTTCAGTGTTGATAAAGGAGGCAGAATTTTGTGCCACGTGATTGTTTTCAATGGAAAAGGTTTCCCACAGCTCAAAGAGGTTGGGGGACACTGCTTTACACACGCATTGGATTTGCCAACACAGATCAGAGAATCAACACAGTCCAAACACAAGTAAAATAACAAAAAAAAACATTAATATTGATCCATAAGGTGCAGATGACCAATGTCCATAAGTGTTGATAAATGTCCATAAATGTAAACTTGGATGCACA